CCATGGGTTTGGATCTAGTCGTCTGTCCTTGGCATCTTGGACCCTGTAAGCCCCTCCAGCGAACACCTTGTCAATAATGAATTGTTGACATCTTGTGCTTATCGTTTTTGTTGGCATGTAGGTGTAAAACCAAATCACCAATGTTAAAGGCCTTTGTTCGGACCTCGCAATGATGGTACCTTCACAGCTGATGCTGATAGAAGGCGGATCGTGCTTTAGCCACATCCTGCTCTTCATCTAAGGCAACAAGGTCGCCCTAAAAACTTTGCTCGGCCTCTTGTTCCTTGTACAAGCATACCTAAGGTGCATCATGTATGAGGTCACTTGGTAAGATGGCTTCAATGATGTACACCATAAAGAATGGCGTATAACCCGTGGACCTATTGGGGGTTGTGTGTAAACTCCACAACACAGAGCCAAGTTATTCGACCCATTTGTTGTGGCTTCTTTGAGAGATCAAACCAGCTGCAGTTTTATACCACTTTAAGATCAATCTGTTGGCCCTTTCCACCTGCCCGTTGGTTTGTGTGTTGTAGATCAAGGCGTAGTCGAGCTTAATGTTGTGTTGAGTACACCGTGTTTTCACCTTGCCGGCCATGAAGTTTGACCCATTGTCCATGATGGTGTTGTGAGGCAATCCATAGCAATGTGTTACATCTGAGATAAACTTGATCATAAGTCTTAATTTTACTGAGGCCATTGGTCGTGCCTCGATCCACTTGGTGAACTTGTCGACCATAACCAATAAGTATTTCTTGCCGGTTGTTCCTTTTTGGAGTGGTCAGACCATGTCCAACCCCTAGACTGCGAATGGCTAGATGATGAGGATTGCTTTTAAGGCTATGAGCGGTAAATTGCTCTTTTTAGTGAAGAGCTGGCATCCGACACACTTGTCCACCAGCTCTCATGCGTCGGCCGATGCTATAGGCCAATAAACCCCTGCTCGGAATGCTTGCTTACCAAGGTCCGAGGAGCTGCATGGTGCCCACATGTGCCAGAATGTATCTCCGACAAGAGCTGCTTCCCCTCTTCTTTGGAAATGCAACATTGGAGGACACAGGTGATGCTGCGCTTATATAGTTCTCCTTCATGAACCTTGTAAGCGGTGGATCATTGGGTGATGGACCATGTTTCCCTCTGGCCATCAGGCAATTCTTTGCGCATCAAGTATGCAAGGGTCAGTCCAAGGCGCAATGACAACCATGATCTCGAGCCGAAGTAGTAACTTCCAACTTCGAGCCCCCAACTGTGTTTGTCATCTTGCTCTAAGGCCGGTGGGGTGACTTCTTCGATGTTTGCCCCATCAGTTGGTTTATCCAACTCGGGAATACCTTTCCATTTGATGGATGGTTTGAACATCCATTCAAGGAAGGTGTTCTGAGGCACAATTTCTCGTCGTGCACCCATTCATGCTAACGTGTCTGCAGCTTGATTGTTGTCTCGCTGGACATAATGGAACTCTAAGCCCTTGAAACGAGCTGACATGGTTATCACCGCATCCTTGTAGGATGTCATTTTGGGGTCCTTGGCGTCGAAATCACCATTGATCTGCGATATTACGAGCTTTGAGTTGCCTCAGACCTTCAGACGATAGATACCCATGGATACCGCCATCTGAAGTCCGTGGAGCAGAGCCTCGTATTCCGCCATGTTGTTGGAACCAGTGTACATGATCTAGAGTACGTACTTCATGGTGTCACCAGTGGGTGAGATGAGAACCACTTTAGCTCCGATCCCGACAAGCATTTTGGAGTCATTGAAGTACATTATCAAGTTGGAGTACGACGTATGCTCTTTAGGGAGTTCGACCTTCGTCTATTCTTCGACAAAATCAGCCAACACCTGGGACTTAAATAGCACGACATGATTGATATAGGATTTCGAAGGGAGGAGCTCAATTGCCCACTTCAAGATGCGACCGGTGGCATCTCGATTGTTTATGATGTCTTTAAGCAACACCTCGGAAGCCACGATTATTGAGCATTCCTGAAAGTAATGCCAGAGCTCCGAGAAGCCATAAACACGACATAGGCTATGTTTTGGTAGTGTGGATACCTCGTTTCACATATGCTTAGTACCTTGGAAACATAATACACATGCCTTTGCACGTTGAACTTGTGTCCCTCCATGTTGCCCTCAACGACTAGAATGACGCGAACAATCTGGTTGGTTGCCGAGATGTATGGCAGCATCGGCTCACTAGGGTGAGGGGCGGCTAGGACGGTATTGGTAGCCAGAAGTGTTTTGATTTCTTCCAAAGCCGCGCTGGCCTCATGTTGAGAGCATGGAGTAAAAAAAGACATGTGGTTAGGAGTGAGGAGAAGTCAGGGGTGTTGGGATGTGTCTTGGTAGAGTTGAGAGCATGGAGACCAACATCCCTCATGGGCACAACAAATTCTCCTAGTTACACAGCCACCACGACAACGTACGTAAAGTTTAGCCGCCGCCATATGTAATCTCAAGACTGTCATGTCTACAACATCACCGCATTCCACCATGCTCCCCTGCGTTCTCTCTCCCTCGCAGCCACCACATGCCATATCCTTCCCGTCTCTCCCTCCCGAATCGGCCGAGCGGCGGTACGAGGAAGGAATCGAGATGCCGAAGGGATAAACAACCACTCAGCGGCTAAGCGCATATACATGTACTAGCGACATCTGATTTGACGTGGACTGGCGAGCGGGGGAGGAGGCATCTTGCAGCCATGACAATTTTTAGACGAACCAAGACGAAGCAGAAGTGGAAGGGGAAAGGGAAGGCACATGATCTGGCAGCCGCGTTGGTTCTAGCGTTTTTGGAAGGTCAGGAGCCGAGGAAGGTGGAGCCAACACGGGGATGGAGTTTAGGAGGTTGAACTCATGAGCCGCAAATCTGGTGACACGTGGTCAATCGAACGGATGGATGGATTTGTGATGACGTGGTACACTGTGATAACAAATAGATCAGATAGTGAGGGCCCGCTCGATACTTCTCATTTGACATTGTCAGATTGAACATTTAAAAGGGGTAGACCGTGATCGGTCTCAACCTGCCAACTCAAATCACTTCCAGCATTGTCTCATTTTCCCGCGTGACACATAGCACACATCGAGCAACACACTAGTGGTCAGCTAGAGAGCGAGGCACTATACATTCGCTCGCCATTGTTCTTGACAATGATAATAAAAATAGACAACACAGTCACATGATAAAATAAGAAGTTTTTTAAGGGTCTCTAATTTTTTTTCCAATCGAGATACAAATAGTCACAAAATCAGGATTTTGAAAGGACCCCATTACTAGTCTGTTTCTTTCTGGATCAGATATCTTTTTCTCGATCAAGTAAAAACTCAAATCCATCTCCTCCAAACGTTTCCTCTCCACCGCTCCCGAGTCCATGACCTAACCAAAGCCCAGCAAGCTGCCAGTCGTGCCGGTCCGCAAGCACTCAGCCCCCAATTCCCGATCTGAACTCGCCGGCAGCCGCCCCCCGCCTACCTCTGTGCCTCGCCGGCCACTCGTCGTCGCCGCCTCGGCCTCCCGCCTGCCTCCGTGGTTTCGTGCCTCGTCGCGCCCTCCCACGCACCCTGCTGCTGAGCCCCCGCAGTCCACTGCTCCCAGCCCCCCAGTCCGCAGACCGCAGCAGTCCTGCCCGGCGGCTGGCGGCTGGCGGCGTGCAACAAAGCTTCCCTCCAGCGGCACAGCCTGCACCCTGCAGCAGCCAGCCCTCCCACGATTCAACACAGTACACAGGTACGGCTGTTGCCCCATTCTCCAATCTTCCCAATTTCGCAATTTATTTATGATTCAAACCTTATATTGATTGATTCATTTGCTGTTGTCCAATTATGATTGTTAGAATATTTGGACTGATAAGACGTATTATTTCTTGTATAATTGTTGAAGAATGAAAGAGGACAGTAAACATTGTTTTTCTTTTCTGGAAACACGTTGCAAAGAAGAGCTATGTTGGACTAGGATGTGCCAATTCTTTTAAGGTGGACCATCCTATTTTAAAATCCTAGATCTGCCACTAGTTACAGTCTACCGCTGCTGTGCCTTATAGCTGCCGCCGTAAGTAGCTTACCATCACCGCGGGCGCCTCAGTCCCTCACCCCTCACTCATCCTCTCTGCCGCTCACGCTCAACGCCGGCGCTGTTTGCATTCTACCTTATTGGGATACCGCATCCCTGCTGGTTCCACCCCGTCCCCGGTGTTGGCTACTTGTTTTTGACATATGCGTCTTTTGCCATCCAGGGATGAGTTCAACGTCTACTGACCTCCACAAATTTTGGGTGTCCCCGTGCACACCATCTAGATCCGCCCTTGGATGTGGTAGACGCAGCGGCTGCTAAGGTCCTCGGTCTCGTTCATTTCGCAGTTTTAATTTAGCAACATGTTTCTATTCCTTCTTGTTTTGAGTTCTCATTAGGTTTCCAGTTTTATTGGTTAGTATAACACGTCCACATCTTGCGCTTTTGCCCAAATATCGCACGTCCGAACGATGCATCTATGTCTCTCACAGTCTTACTGTCGCTGGCGGGATTGTTAGCTCCAATACCTCAGTACGAGGACCGCTGAGACTATCGTGTGTACTTTCTCTGATTATAATAG